GAGAGGGTCCCTCCCATACAGATGTGCTGCTTGGTACCTAACTCTGGCCACACCCCAAGCACAACTGGGAAGCTTTTTTCTTGTCCCAAAGAGATTATTCCACACCCCCCATGAATCCTTCCATGGAAAATAAGAAGCAGCACACATGGGTAAGGCCTATAGATCCCCACAGCAGAGCACACCCCAGGCAAGGGACAGAAGGAAGGTAGAAGGGGCTGCTTGCCCTCAACCTGGAAGACGTTACCTCCTGGCTAGGCCCCGGGTGTCACTGGTGCATAAAGCCAAGCCACAGCCCAATATTCTGTCCTTCCTAAATATGCCCCTGGTTATTAATCATGATTTCTTAGGTTTATAAACAAACAGTATTTGCCAACCCCTTCCCCATCTTTTTTCTCAGCGATCACAAAGACCCCATCAAACACACTGTGTTTTACCCATTTTATAAAGAGGAAGCAGACAGTGAGTGACATTGCCCAGGGGTACACAGAAAGGCTGGGCAAGACTGGGGTTTGAAGCTCAGCATTCTGACACCACGTCCAGTGGGTTCACAGACCACAGCCACTAGGCCACAGCGTGAGCCACGAGGAGCCTACACTTGGCTTCCTAACTGCCATCTCTCTTGACATTTGTGGCTGTTTGGCAGATGCAACAAATGTTTTAGGTTCTCTATACACCGACCTAGTCTAAAATAGAGGTGACCAAGGAGAGGCTATGAAACGTCGACTCTCACATTAACCTACACATGTGCACCTTTTCCTTCCAAGAATTTTGGTCCCAAGGAGTGGGTGAGAAAACTGCAGGTTTGGGGTACATCTAAACAAATTTTGTGGGAAAACGTGGGTGCAGCCCTGGGTCTGGGGAAGATGTGCAAATATGAGTGCAATGTCAAGGAGCCTAGGAGACAAGAACCTGGAGAAGTGAATGAAAAGAGGCCCAGTGATTCTGACCTTGGCAAAGGCGGATCATCTGAGCAGCAAAATGGACCTGTTCTCTCTGTTTGAGGGTTAGCAAGGAAGTGAGCCAGGTATTGCTCTTTAGATTAGCTCTGTGACAGGACTTTATACATTGCGCAGTGTTAAGGAAATGATCCGAAACAAGACAGACCTGGGTTTGAATCTCAGCTTTTTTTTTTTTTAAGATTATTTATTTATTTATTTGAGAGAAAAGGGAGAGAGAGAAAGAGCTTGAGTGGGGAGGGGGGACAGAGGGAGGGGGAGAAGCAGACTCCCCACTGAGCAGGGAGCCCGATGTGGGGCTCGATCCCAGGACCCTGGGATCATGGGATCATGACCTGAGCCAAAGGCAGATGCTTAACTTACTGAGACACCGAGGCGCCCCTGAATCTGAGCTTTTGCATTTTCTGGCAATGTGGCTTTGGGCAAAGTAAGCAATCTCTCAAGCCTCCCTTCCTTCATCTGCAAAATGGCAAGAAAACAGATTCTCCCCTAGATGCTCCAGGAGGGCAGCTCTGCTGACGCCTTGGTTTTAACCCAATGAGACTCCCGCCACACTTCGGACCTCCACTTCAGATGTTACATCTGTGTTGTTTAAAGCCACTAAGTTTGTGGTAACTTGTTATAGCAGCCGTAGGAAATTAATACAGATTTCGGTAAAACAAAACAAAACAAAAAACAAAAAACAAACAAACAAAAATCTCTTGGATCTGTTGAGAGATGAACTAAGTGCCTAACATGTGCTGAGGACATCAGTCTTTAATAAATGAGAGATTTCATTGTCGTTTTGTTATTTTGGAAGATGGGAGTGACTTCCTAAGTTATTATGCACCACTGATCCCAGAGGCCTGAAGGAGAGGAGAATGCACCGGGCAAACAGAAAAATCTAGTCATCAGCAACTGGAGCAGCTCTTGCCCATCACTATATCCCTGCCCTTCCATAAATCAGCCCGCAGTCAGGCTGCATCCCCGGCACTTCCTACTGCGTGCCTGGCTCGATTTCTTCCCTTCACTCTTCTTTTTGCTCAAAGCAACCCCTCATCTATCTCCCTCTCCCCCTCTTGTCTGCAGGGTTCCCCCTGATCCTGATGGGCAACCCTCTCACCGAGTACTCAGTTGTCTCTTTCCCGCTTTATAAAACTGTGTGGCCGGTCGTCTTTGGAAAAGTGTGTTTAGGGGGTTGATGAGTCCACCGTGTCCAAATCCCATGTTGAGTCCCTTCAGCTCCTTTCTGGCCCAATAAAGCCCCTCTTTGGTGGCCTGCCTACCCTCTGCCTTAAATCCCTAGTGCTATCTCCCCCTTTATTTGACCGCATACAGTCATTTTTGCTTGAATCCATGTTGCTGTAATCACACTTTAAATTCCTTAAAAGAACCAAGTGCTTTTTTCTGTTCTTTAAACCCAACTAATCAACACAAGTAGGCTGCTACCCAGCAAATGGGTGCATAACCCATACTGGTGGAAATGGCACTGCACTTGGCTTCTCCAGATTTTTGCCCTTTACTCTCTATACTTACCGTTGTCTGAACTTTCACCTTTCACCGTCTATTTATTTTTGTCTCTAGATGGTAACTCAACTGGTCAGGAGCAATGTCTGTGCATACCAGTCATGAACTTTACAATGTGGCTGGTCTGGTCACAGGAGTAAAGATCTCCCTTGGTGGAGTTTGTGCATTCACTCCTTCAGGGTCCTCGGGCTCCACTCAGTCTGGTGTGTGACAATTACTGGAACAATTGCAGGAAAGAATAAATGTCACTTCTAAGCAGAAACTACACAGAAAGGTCTTGTAACAATGGCCCGATTTCTTCTATTCACTCAGCAAACACTGATGGAGAAGCCATGATGCACCCAATTCTGGGCCCAAAACACTTAGGGATTTTAACTCCTTCAATTCCCACCCCTGTCCAGGCAAACGAGTAAGGGAAAATAGACAAGTGGAGGTTATGTGGAAGGTTGTTGATGCTTACAGTGTAAAAATGAAGTTAAATTTTAACAAGGTCTAAGTAGAAAGCTTGCCTCCCTTTAATTCCCTATACAAACTGGGATTTTAGCCAAACTGCCTCAGTTGCTACCTCATGGTCACCTTGCTCTTCTGGGTCTCTGCTCCCTGATTTTTCCTTTCCCTGGAATGTTGGCGGCCCCCACCTTCCTCCCACATCGCCCTATATCTCTAGTCTACTTACCAAAACCATACACATTCTGCGAGGCTTACACCTTCCCTACTCAGAACTCCCACAGCACTTAGGGTCTTACTAGATGTAATTAAAGTTACTTAGGAACTATCTTAGCTTCCCTACTAAAGCATAAAATCCTAGACTACAGCAATCTCCCTTATTATCTTTGTGTACCTCAAAACTCAAGTTGTATCCTTTAATACATTTTGATTTACAGCATGAATGCAGAAGTGATTAGTCACTTAAATCAATACCACGGTAAGAGATGGCTTTTCTGAAGGTATTTTAAAGTACAAAAGCTAAAGTAATTGACCCATACACTTACCCTCATGTTCCTTCCAGAGACTCCTCAGAAGGGAGAGGCCCACTTATTTTTAGTGCCATACAAAGCACTAAACCTCGTAAATAATTCCTGGGAGCCAGTGTGGGCTGGAGGATGCGCTTGGGCTCGAGTCATGCAGACCAAGGTCTCCAGCCTGGTTCTTGCACTTACGGGTTGCATGACCCGGCGGATCTGAATGACGTAAATTAAAGCTTTAGTTTCCTCACCGGCAGGATGAGGCTCACCTTTTTTTTGTTTTCTACCTAATCTTGGGCTATGAGAATGAGATGTGTGTGAGAGAATCACCAAGGAGAGCCGCGCATGGAAGGAATTATACGTCCGCCCCTCTTCTCCCACACCCTGCCTTGTGCAACGGGGTACTTTATTTTTATTTACTTATTTATTTTTCCAAGTTTTTATTTAAATTCAAGTTAGTTAACATATGGTGTCGTATTGGTTTCAGGAGTAGAATTTAATGATTCATCAGTTGCATATAACACCTGGTGCTCATCACATCACATGCCCTCCTTAATGCCCATCACCCGGTTACCCCATTCTCCCACCCACCTCCCCTCCAGCAACCCTGTTTGTTCCCTAGAGTTAAGAGTCTCTTATGGTTTGCCTCCCTCTCTGTTTTTATCTTATTTTATTTTCCCTTCCCTTCTCCTATGTTCCTCGGTTTTGTTTCTTGAATTCCACATATCCGTGAAATCATATAATTGTCTTTCTCTGATTGACTTATTTCGCTTAGCATAATACCCTCTAGGTCCATCCATGTCATTGCAAATGGCAAGATTTCATTTCTTTTTGATGGCTGAGTAATATTCTGTTATATGTGTGTATATATATATCACATCTTGTTTACCTACTCATCAGTCAGTGGACACTTGGGCTCTTTCCATAGTTTGGCTATTGTTGATAATGTTGCCGTAAACATTGGGATGCAGGTGCCTGTTCGAATCTGTATCTTTGTATCCTTTGGGTAAATAAACAGGGTACTTTTTAAATTGCCAATTATTTTTGAAGGTAACGAAATATTCTGATAATAATGGTTTTTAACAGCTGCGTGTAGCCCATATGGGCCCTGTCAACTCTGGCCATGTGTTTACTTTTTGGGTTTTGGTTCACCGCAACCAAGGGCAGGAAGAGCCATGGCAGGATCCCTGCCCAGTCCTCAGCACCCCATGTTTGCACTTGTCGATGTACAGGACCTCAGTTCATCACACAGATGTGTGCAGTCTGCATATTCTACACCTTAAAGGACCACTGAAAGTCACTGATCGGACTCCAGCAAGCTTTCCTTTTTCTTCTTCTTCATAAAATTACGGTAAAAAAAAAAAAAATTACAGTGATTCCTGAGCTTAGTAACCAAATTCCCACCCTTGCTAAATGATTGCCTAAATTTGGTTTGGATGCTTTGGAATGCAAGAAGGTGATCCGCAATGGTGTGAGGTAGTCACGTCATGGAACATGAAGCAGCATTTGTCACCTGGTCCTATTCAGTTGTACTGTTCTCCACTGTGTCTCCAGCTTGTGCCAAATCCTGAAGATGGCCAAAGATGACTCCACCATTCATTGTTTCCAGGGCCTGCTGATTTTTGGAAATGTGATTGTTGGTGTAAGTACGAGTATTTTTCAGGAAATTCTGTTCCTTCTGTAATCCCAGTTTTTGGATTAATCAAAAGTGAGAGTTTAAAGGAAAATAATGATATAATTACTCGCTTCCTCTCTCTTTTCTTCATTCCAGGAAATGTGTTAGTAAAATATGTTAGCTAGAACTTATATAAATAATCATATATAACTATGCAATATGTTGAAAGACCATGGTTTAAAAAAAAAAAAAAAGGATATTTCCCTCCCAACTTTAAAACACAGTAATCTGAAAGAAGCCATGTCCACCATGGTCAGTGTTCAAACATTCCCACCACACACACACTTTGGTGTTTCTTTCCTATTTCACCTTGGTTTGAGCTCCATGGAACTGTTCTGTTAAGGCTGTTGGGGACAGATGTTTGTGTTTACATGTCTTTATCACACGGAGGCCAGTGCCAGGAAAGTCAGAGTGGCTCAAAGGCTGTGTGGGCTCAGTGTGCTGACAGAGCACTCGAGAGTCAGGATCACTGGCTCTAGGCCCAGCCCCACCACCAACTGTACTCTGGACAAGTCATCAGCTTTCAAGGCCAAGAGCCCTCGTCTATAAAATGCAGAGTGTGGGAAAGATAACCACCAAGGTTCCTTGGTTTTTTGGCACTCATGTATGAGTATGACCAGGACTAGTTCAAATATTATAATCCAGGAATTTGGGCAGAGGGCAGTGAAAGTGGGGCTGGGAGGTTATCTCCATACGAGAAGATATTGTTGAGTGGTTCATGCCCCAATAACTCTAGATGGTCTAAAATTGCCTGAGTCTTTTCCCAAATAGCAATAAGACAGAGTGACATGTGGGAGGAAGCATACAACTTATTAATAGGTTGGAAGGAGCTATTTGATTTCCTGGTAATGAGTTTAAGTCCATGGCTTTGAGCCTATGCAGGGACAGAGTGAGTCTCGCTCATAACCCCCTCCCCACTGTTCGGCATCCCTTTCCCAATGCTGCTCTCCTGACCACCGGCCTGATAGAACGCCCTCTGCCCCCAGATGTGTGGCATCGCCCTGACCGCAGAGTGCATCTTCTTCGTATCCGATCAGCACAGCCTCTACCCACTGCTTGAAGCCACCAACAATGATGACATCTACGGGGCAGCCTGGATTGGCATGTTTGTCGGCATCTGTCTCTTCTGCCTGTCAATTCTAGGCATCGTAGGCATCATGAGATCCAACAGGAAAATTCTCCTGGCGGTGAGACCTTAAAACTCTCTACAGTGCCCTCCTGGATCAATTCTGATGGACTGTTTCTTCCTCCCTGAGCACAGTGATTTGGCTTGTAGTGGGGCAGGTGGGAGCAAAGAGCCAGGTGAGGAGTGACAAGGAGGCTGAGACTCTCCCTGCGCTGAAGCTTGTCCATGTGGGGGCAAGGATGTCCTCCACTATTGCAAGTCCAGAAGATGCCAGTATAGAGGACCCACAGGGGAGAAACCTGGGGGTGACCCTGGAGCACTTTCCAGCTCTGTGCTTCTCTACCTGGTGTCTGCATGCATCCAGCAGGTACAGCCAGGAGCTCCATAGGCCAAAGAAGAGACAGAGTGAAAACATGATCATTAGATTTTTTTCTCTTGACAATAAGTAAAGCATTATTTTAATATTAATCAGTCATTGATATTTTAGGATACAAAATGCAAAATATGCACGAATTTTTAAGAGAAAGCATGAGCTTTTTCTGACATTTTTGAGCTCAAGGCTGATGATTTTGTATAAAGACCTGCATTTCCCATATTTTGCATTCATTCTACTTTTCAGGGACCCTAGAAAACCTTGATGCACGCACTAGAGAGGATAGAGGACAGCTTCAGCTCCCACATGCCTGTGGTGCTCGAACACCATGCACCCACAGAGAAGCTTCTGTCCTGAGCCACAGACAGCAAGGTCATGCCCTGCCTTTGTAGATGGAAGCAGACGTGCAACCAGCAGAGCTAAGAACCCTTGGTATTGGATCTAGACCTCTATTCTCTTTCCCCATGCTCAGGACAATAGTTTCTCACACTGTGATGGCGTCCCACCCCCACTCCCCACCCTAAAATAACTCTCCTACCCAAATGCTACAGGACCTGAGTTACACCTTTATGGAACAAGCCCAGCAACTTAAGATGCTTGTTGGTTTACTTTTCCTGTGATCTAAACATTGTCCCGGCACCCAGAGAATGCAGAACATTTACATTCTCTGATTCCTTTAGCATGAGTTGGTTCCAGGGCAAAAGCACCCACTTCTTCGGGGTGGGGAAAAGAATGCAGGGAAAGGGGGAAGAGGGGCAGGTGTCCCCAGAGACAAGTTTCACCTGCATCCTGGTCTCATTTTGGACCAGTCACGTATGCATGACACAGCCAGGAGGGAACATTCTTCACTGTGTCCTGCAAAGGAAAGGAGCAAGGGAGAAATGGAGAAAACCCCTGTACCCCAGGCCTCCTTTCTGGAGTGTCTTTAAGGGGTTTCCAAGCCCCTTTAAGAAGAACCATCAACACTCTTCTTTTTTTTCCTTTTAAGGATTTTATTTTTAAGTAATTTCTACACCCAACGTGGGGCTCGAACTCACAACCCCGAGATCAAGAGTCACATGCTCTATGGACTGAGCCAGCCAGGTGCCCCCAACCACCAAAGCTCTTGACAAAAAACAAGGCAGCAAATGTTATGAGGCCTCTGATGGTGCTCCTGCTACTCACTCCCCAACCAAAGACTTTCTGTGAGCAGTAGCTGAGTCGTTAGGGCAGCCCAGGGTCCTGCTCAGAGAGCCGTCCCTGCCCAGGGAGAGAGCACAGTTTTCCTTTGCCTTCCCCCACCTACACTGACTGCAGCGCCCCTTCCCTAGAAGAACACAGGGACCCAAAGCAAATATGCAAGACTGAGGAAAGCGAAGACAGACCCTTGCGAATAGTTCCCATCCCAGATTCAGAGGCAACTTGCTGTTCAGGTATTTTTCAGTCATAAATAGAGGCAGTGTGGTGGGGAGGCATCGTGTGAAAGTGTGTGCGCATGCGTGAGCGTAAACACACAGACACACAAGGGCAACACACAGTGAGATGTGTTCCACTCGCCTGACCCATACCTGGAGGCCTGGGGGCTGCGAGAAGGGTGCCGGCGAAGGGCTGTGTACCTGGAGGCTGCCCGCTCCTTTCTGATGAGACTGGACCCTTGTCAGGAGGGACGATGAATGTTAAACATGATCCAGTTCATCTTCTTCTGACCTCTGTAATTCTAAAGTTTCAATAAACCATAAAGAAAATTTCTCTCATCGAGAGGGGATTTATGAAGCTCTATATAGTGTCTGATCCCTCCAAGACTCTCTTGCCAGCCATTGAATGACCAAACACACGCACGCACACACAGACACGCGTGCACACACATGCACACGCATGCACGCACACATCAGTTCGTTCTCTTGTGTTTGTTTTGCTCAGTTAAAATAGAAATGTAGGGTACTGGGCTGAGAAAGCTCTGTATTCGGTAGTCATTTGTTCTCTGGGCCTAAGGAGGGAATTGAGCTGATGAGCACCTAGCTCCAAGTCTTGTTCCAAACAGCTGATCAATGAAGGTTTGTTGAATAATTTCATTAATGATTAGATGGTTTTACTTAGATGCATATGCTGAAAGAATATGACAGTTATTTTTAATTCTCTTTTTTTTGGAGATAAATGTAATTCTTTTTTTCCCCATTTGTTTCCCTTCCAGTATTTCATTCTGATGTTTATAGTATATGGCTTTGAAGTGGCGTCTTGTATCACGGCAGCAACACAGCGAGACTTTGTGAGTACAGTCACAAGAAGCACAGAGCGAAAATGGCCCCGGGGGTCTTCACTATCATCGTCACGATACCGTGGCTGACATGTATTAGGCCCTTACTCTGTACGAGGTACCCCAGTATGTGCATTAATATTAAATATACAAGTCTACTTAATTCTCCTAACTTTATGAAATAGGTATTATCACAAGGGTCACTTTATAGATAAAGAAATGAGATTTTAAAAGGTGAAGTAACTTGTCCAAGGTTACGCAGCTGGTAAGTGAAGGAGGAGGATCCTGAGTCCAGGCCGAGCAGCTCCTGGGGCCCAAGCCTACACTGCTATGCCCTTCCCACTATGCCGCGGCCACCGGCCCTCCCGTAGGATGATCAATAATCCACAACATCTGAGATTTCCTCTCAATTCAGCAGCCTGCTTTCTCTCCTTTTCTCCACTTCCTAGCCTAAGCCACCCTAAAATGCCTGCCCACCTGGTCTCACTGGGATTTCTTTGAAGATGGGGGTTGGGGGTGTCTTCTCCCTTCATGGGGACTTCAGCCATCCAGAGCCTCACACCCCACCCACCCCTTCTTGGGGGCCTCTGCGAACAGTTTTACTCCAGGAGACAATGTTGAGTGGCCCTAGCAGTAGGCTGAGTAAATCATTTTGCTTCCTTGGGGATGAGCGTGCTAACTCTCCTCTTGTTGTCTCCTCCCACCATAGTTCACACCCAACCTCTTCCTGAAGCAGATGCTGGAGAGGTACCAAAACAACAGCCCTCCAAACAATGATGACCAATGGAAAAACAATGGAGTCACCAAGACCTGGGACAGACTCATGCTGCAGGTAATGCCTGCAATTTTGGCATTCTGTGCCTAAACCAGTATCCAGGAGTGAAGGTATGGATGGGACTGAAGTCAAAGAGTGGGGACCACAGCCTCTAGGACAGTTTCATTCAAAAAGAGACTGGACGGGGGCGCCCCGGTGGCTTAGTTGGTTAAGTGTCTGACTCTTGATTTCAGCCCAGGTCATGATCTCAAGGTCATGAGATAGAGCCCTGCATCGGGCTGGGCATGGAGCCTGCTTAAAATTCTCTCTCTCTCTCTCAAAAAAAAAAAAAAAGAAAAGAAAAAGAGACCAGACATAGGCAAGTTCATTTATTCTTCTTATCTATTCCTCCTGTGTGCACATAACTCAATGGAACCCGTAAATGTATATTTTATTTCTGAGCCATGATGTTGATTAATTTCCATTTAGGGATAATGACATTGATAAGAAATTGAGATCAGTCACACACACTGCCTCTTAGAACTCAAGCATCACTTACACTGAAAGAACAAGTTTGCTTCCTCCACATCACAGTTAACTCAAGTGGCAAATATTGCCTATTTTGCTTACTTAGTACCGATGGGCTAGTCCTGCCAAGGACCATGGGCTATGACCTGACTTGATTGCCCACTTGTCTGTATGCATCATACCTTATATGCAAGTTTACCTTAAAGATCATCAAAAATCCAAGTCTTTCAGAATATCCACTATTACCCCTACATTGCCTTATGTATATGAATGTCTATCCGTACGTAAGCCCTAACCTGACCCAACTCTCACACTGCCCCCTGCCTCCCTCCCCCTCCACTGGCTCACAGTGCATCATCAGCCAACTCCCTTAGCCTCTGCCCCCTCCTTGATGTCTCTTTACCCTCTATCCTCTAGCACTTCCTTCATTTATCTGAATATTCCGTAGGAATATTCCAACCATTCTTTTTACCCCATTAGGACCTCCAATTCACTGGCCACTTTTTTACTTTCTGTCACTCTTCTGACTATAGGTCATGTACTTTTTCTATTCTCTTAGCAAGAACTAAGCTCTTCAAATGAAAATGCAAATGGCCACACATCTGAAAAATCTTACCAACTTTTAAAAACCCAGTCTGAACTTAACCATTTTCCCCCAAAAAGGCTCAGATCAAAATATAGGATAATTACTTTCCTTCGCAAGGTATTTTCCATAATCCAGTGACAAAATAGGATATACTTTAAAGACACTAATTTGGGGTGCCTGGGTGGCTCAGTCGGTTAAGTGTCTGCCTTCAGCTCAGGTCATAATCCCAGGGTCCTGGGATCGAGCCCCGTGTTGGGCTCCCTCCACGGTGAGGAGTCTGCTTCTCCCTCTGCCCCTCACCCTGCTTGTGCTCTCTCTCTCTCTCTCAAATAAATAAATAAAATTAAAAAAAGATAAAGAGAGCTGATTTACCATCAAGTTTGTTTGAAAGTAATTCATTCTGGAAAGTTGGGAGGGGTCTATAGTTTTAATTTCTCCCCTTGAAACATTTTGGCAGAATTTCTACAAAGGAAGGAAAGTGATATGAAGTATGTTTTATCCTCTACCCTCAACTCTATCCAGAGTGTGAGGATATTAGCTATGTGTTCCTTGATCTTCCGCTCTTATGTAGGGGCAGAGCTGTGTGCCACCAGGTTTGGGTTATTTTTTTCCAGTTTACTCTAGAAAATGTTAAAAGTACAGAAATGTAAAATAAGAATTACTCATCACTTCTTCACTACTAAAAATTTTAATTTTCTGATTCTCAATTTGCTCATATGTCATATGAGAATAATCATACCTCCCTCACATTGCTATATCCAGATATTAGTATTAGTAATAATTAAGGGTTTACTGGGGTACCTGGGTGGCTCAGTCAGTTAATCGTCTGCCTTCAGCTCAGGTCATGATCCCAGGATACTGGGATCAAGCCCCGCATCCGGCTCCCTGTTCAGCGGGGAGTCTGCTTCTCCCTCTGCCCCTCACCCCGCTCATGTTCTCTCTCTCTCTCTCTTTCTCTCACTCTCTCTCTCAAATAAATAAAGTCTTTAAAAAATAATAATAATAATTAAGGGTTTACTATGGGCAAGGCAGTATACTAGACAGGTCAGGCACATTAGCTAGTTTAATCCTCACAGGAATTCTGAGGACCATGGACTGCGTGAAGGAAACAAGGCCATATTTTACAGTGAAGGAAAATGAGGCATAGTAGGGAGTTGAACTCATCAGAGGCTACAGAGCTCATTAGTGGCTAAGAGAGTAACAAATGTTGAAGTATTTTGTAAGCTCTAAAATGTAGGTTATCGATACCCTCAGTTCCCATTTGGGAATTCTGGGGAATTTGGGGAATTCTGGTAAACGTAAGATAGGGTATACTTTCCATATCTTCTTTCTCCATAAAATCTCAGTTGCTACATTCATGGCTCTAGCAAGGAGCACGGAAGAGAATTTTGTATCTCTACTCTGCTGACAGGACCATTGCTGTGGTGTAAATGGTCCATCAGACTGGCAGAAATATACGTCTGCCTTCCGGGCTGAGAATAATGATGCCGACTATCCCTGGCCTCGCCAGTGCTGTGTGGTGAACAATCTTAAAGAACCTCTCAACCTGGAGGCCTGCAAACTAGGAGTGCCTGGTTACTATCACAAGCAGGTGAGTCCTCTCTGCCCAACACCCGCTCTTTATGAGGGAAATACTGATTAACTATAGGTAATAATCTCTCATGAAGAATTCTGCATCCTTTTTCCCTAAACCTTATGTCAAGTATTTCCTTCTCTGTCAATAAAATGCAGTTGCTAATCTAGGGCTGTTCTGGGGAAATCTACCTTTTAATAAAATTAACAGAACATGAGAATTGCAATAGCAAAGTCCAACTTTGCTTAAATGCAGACTATTTGTACAATAGAATATAGGCTTGGTATTTCAAAAACTATTTCCATTAAACGAAGATTTATTCTATTTTTGCAAAATATAAATTGGAAGGGGTATGTACAAAAAAGATGTTTTGCTAGTGCCAAAGCAATGGTAATTGCTGACAGTAAATGCAGCAATTATATAACCACCTTCATTATTCAGTGGTAATATAGGATGGTCTTAATAGAATATTAAGTTGATGATTTGGGTAGAAGGCAGTTTACATACAGATGGTTTTTGAGAAAGTGTTTCCAGCCTGATTAGAATGATATAAAGATCCTGAAAACTAGCATTTATTACTTACTAAAGCCAGATACCGTTCCAAGTGCCATACATATATTAACTCATTTAGGGCTCAAAGGTAGGTGCCAGTATGATTCTTATTTTATGGACGAGGAACTGAGACATAGAGGTAGAAGATGTACCTTGCCCAAGGTCACTCAGCAAGTAAATGGTTGTGTCAGGATTCAAACCCAAGCAATCTGGCTCCAGAGCCCAGACTGTAAGCCAAGAAAGAACTTGGAAATATTCCCAAAAAGCCTGAGGAGAATTCTCCTATACTTGTGGTCAGCCTCCGAAATGCTTCTACTGCTTTGCGACTTACACTTTGAGGGAAGCTGGTTGTGTGCCAGTTCATTAAATATTGAGAAATGTCAGACTCCTTTAGTCTGGGAGCAAATAATACAAAGCGCACTTTCAAAATGAAGGACACCGAACAGCGGATCATCGTGCCGTACCTGGAAAGGTGCCTGGACTAGGATGGGTTGCATTCATCCAGAAAAGGACATGGGAGTGATGCAGATTATTTTGCAGAGTCCTTCAAAGCAACCCTTATTTAGCTTTTTGGCAATGTTGTTTTGGTGTCATTTTAACCAGTTACTTTCAGACTGCTCTAAGAATTAAATATATTTCTTATAATCACAGTATGCAGTATAATGACCACTCTCGGGAATGATAAATGCTTTCAGTATTTCAACCTTGGCACGGGCCCACACAAACGTATCTTGATTGGATTGGATTGTGTATAAACCGTATCATCTCTGTGAAAGGGACAGAAGAAGGTATTTGCCCTGAGATAATCAGCTGATCTCCTTAGGACATGTAATGTGTCTAGTAGCAAGGGACCTCCCCACTGAGTTTTGACAACCCTTCCCACCTCCTCCCTTGAGGTTCCTTGGCCTCACCTGTCCTTAACATTGCTACCTCCCCTAGCCGCTAGCCACACCACAACTACAAACTTACCATCCTGTAACCCTACTCCCCTGCCAAAGTTCTTTCCACACCTGAAATTCCTCTCTCTGTCCCCACTTCTCTGGGCTCCTACTCTCTCAATCTCACTCATTCTTCACCCTTGACACCTTTCCACCTCTCCCTCTCCCAGCCCCCCAGATTCACACACACCACCGTTCTTTCTGAGTTATAGGTCCTGCTACTTCTCCTACAGCAATCCCTTTCTACCAAGTAAAATATGCCACCCACTACTTCCTATACTTTACTTCTATTATTGCCGTTGGTGCCTTGAGTCAGATTGTAAGTATTTGCTCACAAATCTATTTTTTCTGAGTCTCCTCGAGGACCAGGCATTACTCAATTCTGCATCTTCAGTACTTCACATATTGCCTAGCTCAGAGCAGGCACTGAGAAATGGTTGGTGGGTGAGTGACTGAAGAGGGGAATGACTCTGTTTTTCATATCCATATTGCAGCTTTTCAAAATCTACATTGCATAAATGAAGGCTAACAAGATTAGAGAGGTCCTCATAAATGTGGGGAAATAGAAAAAAAAAACAGAATTTCACATAGCATGTCAGATGCAGATATATGTATTCTTACACGTGGTCCATCTGCCCCAGAAATGCTACGTGCAAATTCTGGTCATTATACCTCAGGAACATTATCACAGAACTGAAGAAGATCAAGGGAAGCAACATTACAATGATAAAAAACAAACAAACAAACGAAAACCACCATGACAAGGAACTAAATTAGAAGAGGTGAAACAACTGGGGCTTTTGTCTGTGAGTTCCATGAGAACAATACCCACGTCTGTCTTGTCACCGCTGAATGCCCAGCCCAGCACCTGGCACCTGACATAAGTGGGTTCTATGGGTACATATTAGGACAAACGACCCCCTCCCAGGATTGTCGGGAGGATCCATGAGTAATGGATATAGGGATGCTTGTGAGTTACTGTGTCATAGATGATACTGTTGTAATTATTACTTCATATCAGGCTCCATTCATTCTATCAATGTTTATTAGGTGCCTACTTTGTGCCAGGCACTTGTGCTGGGCTCCAGAGATTCAGCAATGGGCACAATAAGATCCCTGTCCTCGTACTTGTACTGTAGTATGGGAGAGAGACACCAAACAAATACATGATAAATTCCAGGTAGTGATAAATGCCATGAGGAGAAGCAAAGCAGGGGAGTGTATACGGAATGACACGGGAAAGAGTGTTTTTCTCTATGATGGTCAAGAAAGACTTCATTGGGATAATACTTGCACAGAGTTCTGAATTAAGTGAGGAAATGAGACACTCACTTAAAGAAGATGGAGAAGGGAGTTCTAAGCAAAGGAAGCAGCAGGTGCAAAGGCCCTGAAGTGGGAGCATTCTTAGCTTTTTAGAGGAACATCAAGGACATCAGCATGGCAAGGCCAGAATGAGTGAAGGAAGGGTAGAAGGCAAGGATGACTTAGATTTTGTAGGGCTTGACTCTACATGGAAGGATCCCCTCCTTAGGAAAAACGATTAAAAATGTGCATACAAAATTAGGTGCAGGGCCTTGAAATGGTCTTGTATGTAAGCAGCCCTGAAGTTTAAGTTCATTAGCTTTACAGGGAAACAGCCTCTGGTAGAGGATGCTGGGCTCATAGAGAGAGGCAGAGCCACATCAGACAGGACCCCGTAGGCCACTGGGAGGACTCAGAACTTCATTTTTAGGGTGGTGGAAAGCCATTTCTTTTGAGCAGGGATTTGAAGTGATCTGATTTATGTTTTACAAGCATCCCTCTGGCACTGTATAAGGATAAGTAGGGTGCCCACAGTGGACTCAGGCCCCAGGGAGACCAGTTAAGAGGCTGTTGTAGTAATTCTGGAGTGAGACCATAATGGACCAAGATGGTAGCAGGAAGTAATAAGTGTTTGGATTTGAGATATATTTTTAAAGTAGACCCAAAAGGTTTTGCTTAAGTATTTGATGTTGGACAAGAGGAGAACAGTTAAAGATAATTTCAAAATTTTTTACTTGAGCACATAGGTGAATGGAGATGCCTACAACATAGAGAAGAGTAAAGGGGAGGGAACTAAAAGCTTAGCAAAGTCAGGGTGTGTAAGTGGGTTAACAAGGGCCTCAAGCAGGGTCAGAAAGATGAAACCTCTAGTGTTCACCTGTAGCCACTGGGCAGGGTCTAAACTTCAAGGTCAGCCTTTTGAGGACATTTCCCTCTGGAGCACAGTGGTCCCTGGAACCACCTGGCTATTGCATTCCCTAGACTTCTCCCGGAGCTTTAGCACAGGTCACTCAGAGGGCAGCTCTAACCCCATGCACTTTGCATGGTGACAGGAACAGAGTGTGCTGCGTATAAAAACTCACTGGATTATGGCATGCATGAATGAGTGATTTGATTAACAAAAAATGAATTGCTTGCACGCACACCGTGGCTTCTCAAGGTGTCACTAGAATCCAATAAAGATATGTTGAAATATGATAGCAAATGAGAATTTAGACAGCATGAAATAGGGGTTCCTTTCCTGGTTAAAAAAAACCCTTTGATTTTTATAGATCAGAAGCACTTTTATTTAAGAACAAACAAATCAAAAGGTACCTCTGCCCTCAAAAAAAAAAATCTGTAAGGAGAGAAAAAAAACTCAATTTTTATTAAGAATGCTTTATATTGTACTTTATACTACAATTAAAAAAAAAAAAAGAATACATTGCCCATGTAGTCAATACGAAAAAATGTTAGCCTAAAATAGCAGCACCTTTGTTAGACTGAGTGGTAAAGACACAAAATAATGTGATTTAGAGTAATTGTTGAACAGGACTATTTCTATTCCCTCAGCAAAGCCCCATTTAATACCTGGCTCTCCAGGGGATGTGGAAATAACCTGGTTATGTTAACCTAGACTTTGGAATAGTATTGATCCAAGTGGAAATCCGCTTTCCTGCCCATCCCTTACATCTTTTTCTCTGGTTCCTCTCACACCCACGTGGAATCACCTGCTCCTCTAGGGATGCTATGAGCTCATCTCTGGACCGATGAACCGACATGCCTGGGGGGTGGCCTGGTTTGGATTTGCCATTCTCTGCTGGACTGTGAGTATTTCCCTGCACTTGATAAGGAGAGAACTTGAGATTGCCCCTGGTTAACCCAACCACACTAGAGAGTCTGGAAACAAAACCTCAGACCTGAGGGCTAGTCAGGAAGCTGCGGGCACCAGGCCAAGGACAGTGGATTCGATTGGCAGGTGGGGCATTTATATCCCCTCCAGGGGAAGGGATGTGCCCTACTAGCCAGGTCCCCTAGCTGATGGGGGAGCATTTGTCTGCTGCTCCAGCCCTCCGGATCTCATTAATTCATTATAGTTAGATACCAAAGAAATCTAAGTGGTTAGATACCACTTCCTGGGGAAGCTTGGAGAAAAGAAAATATGCCTGGGCCCCAACCTCTGAGATTCTGATTCAGTGGATCAGGGACCCAGGCATTAAAAAAAAATTTTTTTTCCTATGATTCTAATTTGCTGTCAGGATTAAGAGCCATTATATTGGGGAAGCAATTCTAAACTTTTGGTTTCAGAACCCCTTTACACTCTCAAAAATTATTGAGGACTCCAACGAGCTTTTATTTATGACGGCTATATCCATTTATATTTACCCTATTGGAAATTAACCCAGAATTTAAAAAAAAAAACTTATTAATTCTTTTGAAATAACAATAATAAACTAATTACATGTTAGCATTAACAATATATTTTTGTGGAAAAAGTGACTATTTTCCAAAACAAAAAATAGAAAAGTAGCTTTGTTTTACATTTTTAAAAGTCTGGTTTTAATAGAAGGCAGCTGGGTCCTCATATTTGCTTCTTCACTTAATCTGTTATAGTATGTCGCTTAGGTTGAAGGATTTGAAGAAAATCCACCCTCACGCTGATAGGTAGCTGAAAAAAACCAGGAGTGTTTTGATAGCCTTATCTAAAGATAATTGTGAATATTCTTCTTTGGTACTACATGGAAGTTGACAACTAGCAGTTTCTTAGAGGTTAGTTGCAATGTGGAATCTCAACAAACTTTTCAGACTCTATTATATTAAAATACATTTACATCAGTTTGTCTTACAATTTACATAAATCTTTTACGCATTCATGATTCTATAACATCATGCATTGGTCATTTGGGAAAATACTGGTTCACTGAGTTATGCTGATCTTCCACATGTTGGCTGAATTCTTTACTCAATACCAAGAAGTCACATTCTTTGCTATTGCCACATTGGAAAGGATCTTTATCGTGGGGATGCTATCAGCCCACCATGACAGAAACAAGTGGCCTGATTTTTGCTTGAGCGCCCAAATTTATCACTGGCAACAATACTGCCAGTTGTTTTCCTCAAAGACACAGGCTCACTTTGTAAATTTTTGAGAAAATGTCTGCCAAACATCCAATCTGAATAACTGTAGCTTGTCTATTAATCATTTTTTCAAGTAAAAATCATGTTTCATGCAAAAATGGCTAGTTCAGGGGCACCTGAGTGGCTCAGTCGGCTAAGCATCTGCCTTCGGCTCAGGTCATGTTCCCAGGGTCCTGGGATGGAGCCCCACGTAGGGCTCCCTGCTCAGTAGGGAGTCTGCTTCTCCCTCTCCCACTGCCTCTAACCACAGGCCCCCCCACCCCCGCCCAGCTCATGTTCGTTTTCTCTCTTAAATAAATAAAATCTTTTTTAAAAATGGCTAGTTCAGTATACAATCAAACAATCACACAAGTGCTTTTCCTTAAGACAACCATCAGATTTCAGTATGCAACAAAACTACTTTATGCATACTTTCCATTGCAAGAATATTAAAAAGATGTATATTCAGGGGCGCCTGGGTGGCTCAGTTGGTTAAGTGGCCACTCTTGATTTCTGCTCAGGTCATGTGATCTTAGGGTCTTGAGATCGAGCCCCCCACGTTGGGCTCCCCACCCCATCCCATGCAGGAGCGCACGTGCACTATCTCTCAAAGAAATAAATCTTTTTTTAAAAAAAGATTTATTTCTTTGAGAGAAGAGCAAAAGAGCACAAGGGGGGAGAGGGGCAGAGGGAGAAGCAGACTCCCCGCTGAGCAGGGAGCCTGATGAGGGGCTGGATCCCAGGACCCCAGGATCATGGCCTGAGTCAAAGGTAGACGCTTAACCAACCAAGCCACGCAGGTGCCCCAATAAATAAATCTTTCAAAAAAAAAAAAAGGTGTATATTCAAAGGTGAACATTTAATAAAACTAGTCATTCTTACTGCTTCATCAAAAACAATCTCAAAATTCTAAAACTCTAAATCTCTTATAGTGCCTTTGAACTGCAAGTACATAGCAGTGAAGAATACACTGACTCCTAACACAGTTCAATGCCTCTACCTCGAATCCTGCTAAGATGCTGGCATTTTTACCTTCCCCAGCTTTTGCACCATCAATGCAAATGTGGAAAACAGTGAAAAGAGCAAATAAAGTCTTAATATTATTATGCAAATGGTCTTGACATCAGGCCCACCCACAAGGGTCCCTTGGGTGTTTGTGCACCACACTTTAGGCAATGCTGGGTTCGGGGTGAGAAGCTGAGTGAGGCAGGAAGGGAAAGTGAACTCCTCTGAGAGTTCATGCTCACCCACCCTCAGGAAGTCCCATGGACACCGCACACACCGTGTCACCGTCACTCCGCTATGATGTATTTGTCTCTGCCAAAAGCCTGGGAACCAGCTGCCCTCTGTATCCCCAGGGCCTAGCAGAGCACGTAGCAGGTGCTTGATAGTTTGTTGAATGAATGGAAAATGGTTAACAGTGAAGTTTCTGTTCGTGAAATGCTAGCAGGAACTGTGGGACAATGCTTAAAGGCTCTAAACAATCTTACAACTCCAGACCAGTTGAAACTCTTGACATTTCCATAAGCATCAAATGGACTCTGAATCTAGTAAGTCCCCCTGAAATTCAAGAGGCAAGTGAGAGGAACTAAATGTATTGAAGGCCTGCTATGGACAAGACATTATATCCAATACTTTTAGCATTAAATCCTCACAATAGTAGCTAGGTAGGGAGCCAGTCTCCTTGGGTAAGTACCTTACCTTCTGTGTCCTTGGTCTCTTCATAGAGTTCTGGAAGCATTCAGTGGGGTTATATGTGTAGCACTCAGAACAGTGTCTGATGTATAGTAAGTTGTCAATAAACATCAGACATTAGTGGTCAGAGTATTTCTTTCTCATTCCGTCGTCTGACTCCGGGGTAGGTGAAGAATATTATCATTACCTTCCAGATGCAGGGAGGAGTGGTAGAGCTGCAACAGAACCAGAACCCAGAAATTCTCAGCCCTCCCCCAAGTCAAAAACCTTGAGTTCTGTGACATTCTGCAGGGGCAGCCATTCCAGTCACATTTTCCCAGCATTTCTGGGAAAAGAGGGGGTTCGTGGGAGGAGAGATTCAATGCTAGAAAGCAAGAAACTTGTACCTCCAATTGGTACATACAAGAAATAGGAATCCACTGGAATGTCATTAGCCCTGATGGGAAGAACGAATTTCTTTAGTTTAGCTGGTTTAGCACAGACGTGAGAGGTGCAACCCCAGCGGACAGGGAAGTCTAGGGCAGATTGGCGCAGGAAAGGGGGAACGGAGTTGCTATTGCTGGGTGGCAGGATAGTTACCTCTGCCCCAGGAGGTTTCTTAAGGCAAGATTACTCTTAAAAATTCAGCATCATCTAAGCCTGAGTGAACCTAACATCCTTTTTCCCCCCAAGTATGAGTTGTTTCTAAAACAATTCCTTATTTTTGTTTTTTTCCTTTGTATTCTAGTTTTGGGTTCTCCTGGGTACCATGTTCTACTGGAGCAGAATTGAATACTAAGAACAAAGTGTCACCACCACACCACCTTCCTGCAGTGACTCTGGACCCGGTGCTGCAAGCGAGCTCTCCTAGTAGAGCTCACATCTGCGCCCCGCGGGGGCCCTGTGCCTTCCTGCTCAAACTGCCAAGTCAGTTGGTGTGGTGTTTGCTGGGCTCTCAGCTTCTCAAAATTATTCTCACTAGTGTTTTCAGCCTGGTCTAGGGTTCTGTAACATTCTTACAGCCAGTAGGAAAGGGAGATTTTAGGAAGTCTATAACTACTTCCATCCCTGCTTATTTTTAATTTGGGGGCATAAAGACTTCCGCAAGAACCTGTTACTACAGCAAGCCAAGTCTGTTATTTGGACAGCAAGGTTGCGTGTACTTCTCACTGCTTTCTAAAAGGGCCTTGCAAAGGCTGTCCTTCTTCTCAGTCTTGCCCAGGTGAGGGAACTGAGGAAAAGGTTGCTGAGAGAGAACTTTGGTCCTTGTTCTATGGTGGCTTTCCTGTACACAGACTCAAGCGATTCCCTTAAAGCAACCTTAGGACTCTTTTTTCTCCAGGACAATGCCCAACCTTGAGTTAATAGTGGTTGAAACTTCCCCTCGGACATGGCAGGGTGACATGCGTGGAGTAAGCTCAGTTCTCCCATTAATTTCTTTTACTGTCAAAATATTTCTCTTCTGAACTATGTTTCCATTTGTGGTCCTGAAAGAAATTCTTATAATTCAGTATTTGTCTAAGTCTTATAAATAAAGAGGGCTTTTAAATATGTTCATTTTCTTTTGTTTTTACCAGTGGCGTAACTGGTCACATACAAGTGTAACAAAATGAGTGTTCCAACAGAAGAGCCTTTTAGGCTCATGGGAATTAACGTCTAGGAGATGGAAAATGCAACTGGGCGAGGTTTCCTGCTGATGCCCTGTAACCTGGCTGTACAGTTAGATGGTTGGAACTTCTAAATTTACTTTTACTTTTCACTCCTGCTGCACTCACCCCAGTAGTGGTGATGGCGCTCTGGCTCCTCAATCCTTTTCCTCCTGCAATGGAAGCATCTCGAACTTCCAGCTGTGAACAATGTCCCTTATGAAGGAAATGTCGGTTTTCTTCAGGGTCCTACTCGCAGCCAACTCAGTGCCCCAATCCCACACCCTGGTGCCCTGGTGAGTTAGGCTGAGCCCCGGGGTTGGGAGGGACAAGGGAGGAGTGGGGTGGGGGCACACTTGCTGGTAAAGCCGGGACAGCAGCCTGATCCTTAATTCCCAGCATAAGGGGGCAAAGTCTTCTGTCCTGACTCCCAACCAGCTTACCCCACCCATGTCTCACCTTGTCCCTCCCGGAAGAGGGCTTCGGGTGTCAGGATAAATGACACCTGCACTTAGCTGAGAAGGTTCTCTCCATGGTCTTTTAGAAGAAAGAAAGAGAGGGAAGCAGATTACTCTGGGGCGGGCTTTGAAATGCCTCCCATGTGTTCTGATGCCTTTTTCTTAACACTGCTATCCAGGTTTTCCAATGCCTCATGCTTTCTGCTGGCTGAGCTAAGTCTGCCTCAGATCCACTTCTGACTTCCCTTCTAGGGCTTTGTGCATGCCCCAAGACTCTGTCTACCCACAAAATTCCATTCTCCTTGTGATTTGATCTCAGCTAGGTTAAGGGAAAGGCTTTGTGCAGACTAATTCATACTAAGGGGTGAGGGACAACTAGTTTCCACTCTCTTAATCTTCCCTGTGGATTTTTCATTGATAACTAAATTGATCTCCGGTTAGTGGAATCCAAGGCAGCAGTGGGAGCAGGAAGCGCTATCGTGGGGCAAGATGGCCCTGCTGCTGCTCTCTAAATCTTACCTCCTGCCTTCCCTACCAAGAAGTACCTAGAAAGAACGCAGGCCTTTAGTCAGTGCCCCTTGTCCCCCCTCCACCTAGATGCTTGGGGAGCTTCAGCCTCATCTTCAGAGAAGGTGCAAATTCCACTATAAATATGGACAGGTTTTTGTTATCCCCAAAACCAAATAAGGCCCTGAACTCAGGTACCCACTATGTCCAGGCCACCAACACTCGAGGAGGACATACCTTTCAGCTGAGACAAACCCAGACCTGAGGACTCCTCTGCAGAGTCAGGCCATTCAGAACCCCTGTGCTTTCTGCTCCAGAGGTCTTCAGTTTAACCTCAGAGCAATTCCCACTCTGCCTAGTTCCTGCTTCCATCCCTCTCCACCTTCCATGAAAGCCCAGCCTTCCCCCTTCTTCCTTCTGGCTTCTGGGACTGGAAGTGGGCCTCACAGTGGGACTCAAACCACCATTCAGGGTGTGGCCCAAGTCCAGCCTCACCAAAGCCACCTCCAGCCCCACTAGGCCAGGGAGTGGAAGGAGAGCAGGGGCATCTGGCTCTTGGGAGCTAGCAGGTTGCTGGGCTCAAGATCCACCCAGACAAAACCATCCTGAGAAAATGCCACTTCTCCAACAGACCGTGGGCCTGCTTATCAGGTACACAAAGAACAATTACTACCTAACACCAAAAATGAGTCAGGCTAACTCTGGGGTAGGTTTTACTTGGTTGCAATGCCAGATGGATCATCATGGTCTCTTGGTTGGCTGATTCCTCCCAGGTGGCCACTCAGGTTCCTGGTGGGCTGTGTACAGGGAATGTTAGAAAGCCTACTGCTCAGGGGCCCCTGGGTGGCTCAGTTAGGCAAGTGGCTCTTGGTTTCAGCTTGGGCAGTGATCTTGGGGTCCTGGGATTGAGGCCCCTCTGGGCTCAGTTGGGGAGTCTGCTTGAGATTCTCTCTCTCACTCTCCACCCCTAAAAATAAACATATAAATCTTGAAAGAAAGAAAGA